GTTCATTTTTCATGCAGTTCCAGAGAGTTCTAGTTTGGAAAGTTGCCAGCCTAAACAGTTTGCTAGCAAGCCACGGAAAGCCTTTGTGAACTATTTAATTCTCTGTCATTAAATAAACCTTTCCCGGTCATACCTAAAAGTGGACAGAAGTTTAATGTTGTTGTGTTCTGTTGTATAAAGCCCGTATAAATAAGCGGGATAACGTATATTACTCAGCGTCATTATCGTGATAATAAGAACCGACAGGCAAAGCGGACCCCGACTCGCATGATTGTACAACAATTAATATAATGATGAACAATCATCCCAAAACTGCCTGAGAGGAGGAATTGACATCACTTCCTTGATTCAACAAATGAAAATTGGAAACGAGCCGCCAAAATCATGTTCCTATTAACCAATTTGTCTTCAGAGTTCAGTTTTATACCTGAAAAATACATAGAGCCAAATCCCACAGACACAAAGCACTGAAAATGAAAAGAACACCACAGAGAGATTTAATAGATATAAAAAATATATGTTTAAGAATATGGCTCAAAGCAAATATGCAAACATATTTGTAAATTGATTAGAATAAGTTAAAAACTATAGTTGAATCATGACTTTGTAATTTTTGTGCATTTTTAAGACCCAAGATTAAGCTCCATTAGTATCTTGTGAACCTTTAGACGAATTTGTGACGGAAGATTATGTTGCTAAATTTCTTAATTAATTGCAAAGAGTAGATTTTCCCGAATCTCGTTTGTCTGCAGCTAATCAAGCAAACTAGCTACATTAAGCTTATTATGCTATTATTATTTGTCATTTATTTCCTGAACCTTTATAATGACATTTTCCATTTGAGCTAACCCTCTGTTTTGTGGTTTTCCCAGACACATAAGCAATTGGTTGTTTAATGTGTATATTTGCTATAGAATATTATAATACTCTTTTTCCTTTGACTGTTTCTGTTCCTCCAGCATACAATGTACCAGACTGTATCTCCTGCCAAACCTGCAACACAGCTGATAACAGATCCAGTCGAATCTCTCCTTTACCTTCAGACTCCTGACCTAAGCTGCTAATGAAGTGTCCAGAGTGTGGGGGGGCCTGAACTAGCGGCGCTTAAGCCTTTCCGAGCCTGTTTTATCCCCTCGCCGGACACCAGGCCAAAGGTTAGTCCTGCCAAAGCCTCCCCCACGCCGCGGTGAGATCCAAAACACCATAAATATAACTTGTCGTTGCTGAGACATGACCAGAGACGTAGTTGGAAAGCGGGTTTTGACGATAGAGAATCTTGCTCCACACATGTCCAGATGGATTAGTTATTATTACCCAAGCTAACATTGAACAGGTACAAAACTAGCTTGTTTTTAAATGCTAAGCTAAAGCCAGGGACTCTATGTCTAAAGTTGGTTTGCTTCTGCGGCTAATTTGTTGTGCAGTGTTTTGATGAATCTGAATACCAGGGCGAAACTAAGCTAGCAGTAATTGGGTCATTGCTTTCAAGGAGCTAGCACGACGTCAGGAGGCGCTAACCTTTTTACATAGTTTGTGTCTTGCTCTCCTTTTGCCGGGGCAATAAGCACAATTTTGGCTAGTACGATACTTTAACCTGCTTTAGTGATACTGTACGATATTAAATGAGGGTCAAGAAATCTAAAATCAGTCTGTGTTCTCGCTAAAGCTAATATAAAGTGGGCTATTTGTATCGTTTAAGCTAATGCGAGTAGCACCAGTACAGATGGGATTCACATTTGTTTTTTGCCTCGCTTCATTGGTGCGTGTGGTTCTTTTAGTAAACCAGGAAGAGCTCAGTTAGCATGCTAGTTGACGTTAGCATGCGTGTTAGCTTTAACCATGCCAGCCACATTCAATTTTAATTAAATTCCGTGTGTTTATGTATAGCCTCAAATCACAGCAGGGGTTATACTTGGCCGGAGGACTTTACAAAGCTGACGATTCGCCAACGCAGAAAATCAAACTGTTAAAACACAGAACAGACAGAGACCAATGTCCATAAATATTGTTGAATGTCCTGGATCATCAGCCCTGCCCTTTGACCCCCCATATGTTCTCTGGTCTCCCTCTATTGTGAATATAATAATACATCTATGAGTTTAAATATGATATAAGATGGAGACCCTTTATTCATCCCACAGTGGGGAAATTTCAAAGTTGCAGCGCACAGACGGGACAGTAGTAAGAGACACATAGAGCACACAATATAAACAAAATAATAAGTAGTAGCTGTAGACATGTACAGACTCGGCAGTTCTCGTTGTACAGTCTGACAGCAGCAGGAAGGAACCCATATTGCATGTGTATGATGTATTGCGTGCGTATGTGTTTTTTTTGTTGAACATTTTGTGATAAAAAAGCCTTGTCTGAGAGTAGAAACGTCCTTTCCCAGCGTCCTAACTTTAGCTCCTCTGTGTTGCACTGGTGGATGTTCCTCTTCCTCCTCTCTTCCCTGAGGAGAGGCATCCAAGCAGCAAAATGTCCAGCACGCACTGTTCCCCTTTGCGTGATTTAAGCTGAGAAGGAGCTCAGGAAATATATTTAGAACATGGAAAAAAATGGCATCGCAAGAAAACCTATGTATCTTTTCCCCATCAATAAGATTTTATATACAGGCAGCAACACGCATCTCTGCATCAAAAGACAATGTCGTGAGCCGAAGTCTTTTAGGCATTCTCCGTCCGTTTGTACGCCGCATTTACATACAGATGTAGTTTGTTTGCTTGTTTTGGGGGGACTCAAAGCCGGTGGGACGTGGGAATGGTAATTTCTGAGCGACTATATAGATAATACACTTAACAATCTTTGCATGGTTCAACATTATCGCCGGTTAATGCCTCCGTTGCTTATCACCGTCGACCACATTCAGCGACTAAAGTAGGATTCATCATTGAGGGTAATTTAGCGTACATTTGCATATAGTTTAACCTTTTGCAAATGGCTGCCGGACGCTATGGCTGTAAGTTGGGTTAATGATTGCTGAGGTCACACTGCGCCGGCGATTAAATTACCAATGTTTTTATGAGTGTGTGTTTTAACAGAGTTGGGTTCATATTTCATAAATGTATAGACTCAAAGGTGGATGGATTAGTCCCATTGCCAACAAGAGGATATCAAATTAGGTCCATACTAGGACAACATCCAGCCATATATCTCAGTCCTTTCAAAGACAAACTCGGACATTAGCTAGCTCCAAGTATGACATCATCTCTTGTACGCTGTATTTTGGTGAATCCCTGCTCTTTTGGATGCACTTGTTGCGCCTCTTTTTCTCAGATTTTTGTCCGAAACTGGTGATTGCAGTAAAACTTCCCTCTACTTGACTGGGAATTACAAAGGGAACGAAACAAGCTAGAAACAAAATGATTTTTGCTGATGAAAGTAGGCAGTCCATTCTTTCAGATTCGGATTTCTGATAGTCATAGAGTACACAATATTCAGTGGGTCAAAAAATCTTACATATTGCTTCTTTAAACTACCCCAAAACCCTCTCCGCCCCCTCTTTAAAAACGCAGCGTAACCAGCCCCCACCCGTCTGCTCGCCGTGTGATTTATCCCCCGCCGTCTCTTCATATCACCACTCTCGAGATTGCGTGTAGCGGCGACACTTGTTGAATAAATCTTAGCGTGTAGCATGTATAAATCTGTAATATCTCCTTTCTTGATCGCGTCTGCTCTTGCTAGCTCTTGCAGATGCGTCCTTAGCTAACCTTTACCCGCATCTGTATTCATCAGCGTTGCCCGGACGACGTATTGATAGTGTCAACATTGGCGTCGCGCGGCCGTTTGTCATTCCGAGCACACGCGTGTTCTGTCTCTCGCCGTGAGGTTGGAGATCGAGTGAATCAAACTGGATTATTCAAAATTATACTCTCCGGTGTGTTTTCGGTCTCGTGGGACGTCCGAGGGGTTCAAGGGTGATTCTGGTTAAGCGTTCCAACTGCGGAGACCGGGGCTGGACCAGGAGCGGTGGATCTGAACGGACCAAATGTTAATCTCTATATAAAGGGTTTTCTGGATTTGAGTCTTTTACTAATTACATGAATCCATCCATTTGTCGTCAATGACTTTTCAAACTGCCTTTTAACAATTTTACTAATTCGTCCATTCCCTCATTTGTCTAACAGTTTGATTACTGTATTTTTCGGACTATAAGCCGCACCTGATTATATAAGCCGCACCTGATTGTAAGTCGCACTTGATTATAAGTCGCACTTGATTATAAGCCGCACTTGATTATAAGCCGCACTTGATTATAAGCCGCACTTGATTATAAGCCGCACCTGATTATAAGCCGCACCTGATTATAAGCCGCACCTGATTATAAGCTGCACCTATCCCACTTTGTCATATTGAAATATGTAGATCAAAAAGGTTCTTCGTGTCTTACCCATTACTGTAAGAAGAGTAAAAGTAAGAAGTGAGTCACTGACTGTTTTTAATCTCCCGGTTAAATGTTTAAGGAGGATTTTCCCAAATTTTAGGAAAGAACCACTCTCTCCCCTTTTTGAACCAAACTCTCTGATCTTATTTTACGTATGACCAGAAAATTGGGACCAATAGTCTTAATGATCCACCCGGAAACAGAAAGTTGCACCTAACTTTAAGCCGCGGTTTATAGTCCAGAATTTACGGTAATCCTTCTGTTCCGTCATGTATCTAACAATTTCTCCATTTCTTCTATATCTGTTTTGCATATTCATCTATCATCCAATGTTTAATACAGGGAATTAATGAAACTCCTCCTCTTATTTATTTTATTTATTTTCAAATACTTTCACTTTCTCAAACATGAAATTACAAAGGCAATAGTCTCGATCATACTTAAAGGGTCAATACAAACCGTAATATTTTTTGTGTGTGTCTCAGTCCTCATCCAAAGTATTAATCCTGCCATTATCTATCAATCCATTCATATACAGAGCTATCCACACATTCATTACCTAACCCCTCCATCTGTCTAACCAACCCATCAGTCTCTTTATTCCACCATTTTCCAGTCATTCTCCAGCCTGCCTGAGACTGTTTTCATTGTAGGCACAGTGGCTCTTTGAAATGCATTGCGCCACCGCGACGTCGCACCTCGGGGAGACGGATCACAGAGGTTTACCGAGAGAGGAGCAATCCAATCTAAACCCGAGTTTCTTCAAGACATTTCCAGGACATTTCGCCAGGATCCGGTTTGCGACGGGGAGCGGTATGACCCCAATAAAAGAGCAGGGCTTCTCCAAAACGCAGCGGCGCTTTGGCCTGTGCAAAAGAGCAAAGATATGCCACTAGAATCTTGCAATACTTCTGTCTGTTTCACACTTGGATAGAGCTAAAGGCTTTGAAATGACCGTAGGAGACGCAAATGGGTGTTGCCTAGGGCTGGGCGATTAATCGATTTTAATCATTAATTCGAGTTTTACATTTAGGGCGATTTCTTTTTTTAAAAATTTGATTTTTATTTTCTCCAGCGCAGAACTACAGCGCTAACGCGCTAACCGCGGGTCTATGGTGTTGAGCAGTCATTTTGAAGCTAACCTAATGCTAACAGTCTCCCTCTGGCCTGATGCTCGCTCTCACAGTTGGTGCTGTTGCAATAACACTTCAAACGTTCAAGAATCAGACTTTATTTAAATCGCCAGAACACACACACACACACACGTAGCTGCTACAGTAGCTGTTAGCTACAGTAGCTGCTACAGTAGCTGTTAGCTACAGTAGCTGCTACAGTAGCTGTTAGCTACAGTAGCTGCTACAGTAGCTGTTAGCTACAGTAGCTGCTACAGTAGCTGTTAGCTACAGTAGCTGCTACAGTAGCTGTTAGCTACAGTAGCTGCTACAGTAGCTGTTAGCTACAGCATCAGAATGTAAACAGGAAGCTCGCACAATGCGGGAGTCACTGAAGTTAGTATTAGCGCCACCAGCTGGACCGAGCGTTGTACTACAGCACAGTTACTCAGGCACAGTTGAAAGAACAAGCATGAAAACCCGAGGAGGCTTTTGGAAAAGACTGTTACAACATTTCTATTTTGAGTAATCAGTTTTAAAAATGTGATATTTCATGTAAATAATGCATGTGTTTAATAGGATTGATATATTTGCGATGGGCCTTGTTTGTGTGATTTAAGTTATTTTGAAGGTGCATAGTGTCATTGTCAGTGAAGTTATTATAAAACTGTTAAGCTACATTTTCACTGTTTACAATGGCAGAGCCATCTCGTTTACAAGCATGTTTTAAGGCTTAATTCCTGTTACACTTATGCTCCATGGGGATTTAGATTAAACTGCATAAAGGAAAATCTATTTCTTTGTCAGTTGTAGTTTGTTTTTAAATAGAAAAAAATAAATCGATTAAAATCAAAAATCGGATTTGGTGTGAAAAAATCTGAGATCTTTTTTTTTTGCCATATCGCCCAGCCCTAGTGTTGCCTTAGTTTGGACTTATTTGTTATCCTCTTGTTGGCAATGGGACTAAAGCAATGCGACCAATTCTACATCGGAAAGCTTGATTTGTCAAGTGGGAATGAGCATTTTGTCCTTGGATTCAATGCAGTAAACTGGAAGAAATGTGTGATTTAAGAGTCTCTGCAATATCCTCGTCACATCTTCCATAAGAGGTTGTAAAGTCTTTGGTTGGGTTCAAATGGGTTTTTCATGGTTCCTATTGGCTCACTGGCATTGTTTAAATTCATTGCTAGCATAGTTTGTAGTCAATTTTCAAGTCGAAAGAGACTTAAAGAACCGCTTGAAAGTATAGAGGTTTTTATTGTCTGTTGATCTGAACCTAGAGTCTGCAAATAAACGTATCCATCTTAAAGGTGCAGTAAGCAATTTTGTTAGCTTAGCTGTAGCACCAACTGGAAACCACTCCCCCCTCCCCTCTCCACCAAACCACTCCCCCCTCCCCTCCCTCTCCACCAAACCACTCCCCCCTCCCCTCCCTCTCCACCAAACCACTCCCCCCTCCCCTCTCCACCAAACCACTCCCCCCTCCCCTCTCCACCAAACCACTCCCCCCTCCCCTCTCCACCAAACCACTCCCCCCTCCCCTCCCTCTCCACCAAACCACTCAATATTTAAGTAAGTAAGTAATCTTTATTTATATACTGCCTTTCACAGACTAAAGTCACAAAGCGGTTTACAATAGTTATTATTTTAAAAAAATCTGGAAAAATCACTAACTGGGACTTAAACGATGCTAATGATTCGACCCATTTCCCAAAACACCTCACAATCTGCACATCCGTCTGTTTACTTAACCTCTGTTGCCTTTTGTTGGACTATAAATGGCAACCAGACAGAAACAGAAGCCCCAAACACTGACTTTTTATCTCTTTTGAGGAATGTTTTGTGTGGGTTCTTCCAGGACAGGAGGCGGTAACCTTAAAGAATGCAGGACTTCTATAGCAGCGGAGAACAGCTCTGGCCTCATTTTGTGTTCTCTGATTTATCACGAGTCGCCCGCCACTGGGGAGCGACCTTATTTTTACCGCCAAAGAATGGAGCTCCTTTTGCTAAAGCCGCACATAAGGAACAGAGAAGACCAGCTGAGAAGACCAGCTGAGGAAATGCGATAGTCCTGTTACTATAATTACCATATTGACTTTTATTGACTTGAGTTTCACCGGGAGCACATGGTTGACAGGTTTTTAACTAAAAATAGCAATTACATAGACAAGTAATGGGTCATTTCTCTCCAGATTGCATCCCTATACTTTAGCAGTACTTGCGTGAATTGTTGACTAATAATTATCGAAAAATACATGTTTGGTGAAAGTGCGGGAAATTTTAGAATAATGTGGATTATTATACGGCTCCTCACAGCAGCAGTAAAACGCTCCATTCTACCGGTCATTATTTTCTATAACGGACCTCTCAAAACAATAATGACCGCTGCCCTTTGGCAACGCACTCTCTGCTTGTCTTTCAAATGGTTGGATTACTCCACAAGTAGTTCCGGCCACTCCGGAGCTCGCCACGCTCATTAAACGCAAATGCCAATCAATCAACGCAATGAAATGTTAATCGGAGAGTGAATTATACATATCCAGTCTTAATACAAGTGCACGGAAGTTTTCAGAATTTTCCGTTTAAGTTTTCATGACAAAAACACTGATGTAATGCGAGAAAAGGCGATCCCGAAAAACCAGGAAGTAAATACCGGCACATTTTAGGAACATTTGCAGAGGATGGAATTATGGATTTAGGTTAAGTTTATGTTTGGGTCACTCACCGCTGATGTTCAGGATTCTGTGTTCAGGTTTCATGCAGTTCCAGAGAGTTCTAGTTTGGAAGTTACTAGCCTAACTGTTGCTAGCATAGCTGTTGCTAGCATAGCTGTTGCTAGCATAGCCACGGGAAAGCCTTTGGGAACTATTTTATTTTCTGTCATTAAATAAACCTTTCGGCATTCCTAAAAGTGAACTGAAGTTTATGTTGTGTGTTCTGTTGGTATAAAGCCGTATAATAAGCGGGATAATGTATAGTACGCAGGTCATTACGCAGGCCAGTGGTGCACACTGGGGTAGTCTTGCACAGTTTTTCCAATGTGGTTTTACTGCAAATGGCAAATAAATGAATCTGAATCTGAAATAAGTCCCTTCAGGGAGGAAGCTTCACCCTGTTCGTACTTATTTTCAAATAATGACCTGCGTAGTGTACGTTATCCCTTACTTAATGGCTATTTGGCTGTGGAAGAATGAGAGTAGTTTTATTATTTTTAACTAATATATGAAGCGCTAAAATCAAAGAAATTACCTTGAGTGGCACTTTAAAGTCCAATGGATATTTTCATAAAACCAATAAAATATAATGTAAATGAATTTCACTCTGGAAATGTGGAAAAAGTGCATCAATAATCGTTTCAAGATTCATCAGAGCCATCTAGTTGTATTTGCGAGTTTTACATTCAATTACAGATTATAGTACAACTTGTGTGCAGTAATAAGCATTGTTATGAACTCATTAGAAAATAAATTGGGTATAGCTTCTTTAAGTCAACCATGGCGCCCAGAGGGTTAAAATAGAGGTTCTTTATCTCAATGGGATTTTTCATTTTAGAAGCAAATCTATAAGTCTCACAAACAACTCTACACATTAACACACCATCATGTTTATAACTGGTTTATTGAGGTCTGGTCTGACTGGGATCACAGGTTTTGCTCAGTAAAGCAGTCACATGGGGGTGGTAGACGTGGTAGACATGGGGCAGGTTTTGCAGTGATTGCCTAAAGAACGTAGCAGAGACTTTTAGAGGCTTTAAATGTTTGATTAGGTGTAAAATTAGAAGTATGTTGGCCCTAAGTGCGTTTTAAGTATTTGCTTTGAATTTAGAATGAGAAGTGAGTCACGCCGAGGCAACTATAACTCCTTTTCACTTTGGGAAAGTGAGACGTTTGTTGGTTCGTTAATATTTTAAAGAGTTGGTGTTGTGTAGAAAGTGTGGGCATTTCATACGATAAACAGTCTCTCCAAATTAAAACGAAAAACATATTTTATCTGATTCTGTGCAGATTAAAGCATTGTACGGTAAAATGAAGCTGCCATTGAAGTTGTTCTCGGCTTTTTCAGTAACTTCAAAAAACTGTGGCGAGAAGTATCACCACAGATGGTTTAGACTAGAGTAGAAGAAAAGATTCAGATTCATTTATTTGCCATTTGCAGTAAAACCACATTGGAAAAACTGTGCAAGCCTTACCCCAGTGCGCTACGGGAACTCTTTTTACAGTTTAATGTTCTCCCACGTTCTGAAAAACTTTGCCTAAACACTTTTTTGACATGAGTTTGACGCGAGAAGATTCCACTCGAGGTGAGTTATGGCGTTTGGCTTCTTTCTACATTTGACAGTTGAAAAACAAACCGCAGAATCTCCACCTGCAGAGTTTCACTGATTCACGATCAGAGCAAAGTCATGGATGTGCTGTAACAATAGAAAACCAATTTCTCTTTTCTGTTGTTGATAAATATAGATTTATTTTATTTAAAACCTGCAGAACACAATGTCACATCTTTACACTAATATATTCTTTCTGTTTGTGTAAAAAAAGTCATATTTCTTTCATACAAACTGTAACAGAACAAATCACAACCATCAATTTTAAGCAATCAATAACACTGGGTAACAAAAAAATATTGTTTGAAAATAGTCCAGGGTTTTCAGCTGAATTCGAGTCTGAAAATGACCTTGGTTTTGCTCAATCAGGTCTGGATTTTTTGCTACAGAAATATTTTTTTAAATCAATTTTGCGTAAAAAACAAATTTCTGTGGATCATCAGCTGAGAAACCCTTGACGTTTTTTCCGTTTTCCTCAAGAAATAAAAGTCAACGTATCCAAAGTCATTCAGTTTTTATTTACTCCATCAAATTTGATAAGCAGAATTCATAATAACGTAGACATAATCCGTAACACTATGTATCTCACAAAGTTGACCTGATAGAGACAAATGCATGTGATATTCTCAGAACACCAACATTAGTCTGGATCAGAGAGAAACACCTGACCATTTTTTTGACTGTCAGCATTTTTAACGTGGTTTATTTGTTAGAACTAGCCTTGGAGACATTTTTGACTCTCACAATAAATCTTTTACCCTTCGGCAAAATGCTCTTGCTTAAAATGAGTTGAAACTTCTTGAAAGACGGTCTATGTTAAACTACGACAGAAATGAAGAACTGTCCGTCGTTAATTATATGTTTTTAGACACTTTTTCGTCCATCTTTTACGGTATCTATATCACAACCCATTTCTCTCCTGAAAAAGACAAAAATGATCAAATATATCCTGACATCTTTAACGCTGTGTCGAGACTGCTGAGGCTGATGTATGGCTCTTGGTTCGTGGTTCTTGGCTCTTGGTTCTTGGCTCTTGGTTCGTGGCTCTTGGCTCTTGGTTCGTGGTTCTTGGCTCTTGGTTCTTGGCTCGTGGCTCTTGGCTCTTGGTTCTTGGCTCTTGGCTCTTGGCTCTTGGTTCTTGGCTCTTGGCTCGTGGCTCTTGGTTCTTGGTTCGTGGTTCTTGGCTCTTGGTTCGTGGTTCTTGGCTCTTGGTTCTTGGCTCTTGGTTCTTGGCTCTTGGCTCTTGGTTCTTGGCTCTTGGCTCGTGGCTCTTGGTTCTTGGTTCTTGGTTCTTGGCTCTTGGCTCGTGGCTCTTGGTTCTTGGTTCTTGGCTCTTGGCTCTTGGCTCGTGGCTCTTGGTTCTTGGTTCTTGGCTCGTGGCTCTTGGTTCTTGGTTCTTGGCTCGTGGCTCTTGGTTCGTGGCTCTTGATTCGTGGCTCTTGCCGTCTGACCGCTGTGGGTTTCGGTCCCGGAGGGTTTGGCTCCGGACTTGGGCTTGTTTTGGTCCGGATGTAGCAGACAGATCACGTTGTAAAGATGTCTGGAGCGGGCGGTGGCATGTGTCCAGCGAGCAGACATCACTGCTGCAGATGCTATCGGGCGAAGGAGACCAAAACAGACCCACAACACACTGACACAAAGCACCACAACTGGGAAACGCACAAAACACACATCTGCAACTTCTCAATCAGTTTTGTACTTTAGTTCATTTTAAATCTATTGCTCAATCTTTAAAATCTGTTACATGCATTCAGTTGCTATGACTACAACATTAGCCTGGTCTTACCACACCATAGTACTCATTTCATTTGTACTAAGGTCTGGATTTGCTCCATTGACTCCTTTTGCAGATTGAAACCATTGCATCTGAGTTTACCGTGATGTGTATGAGCCCGAGTGAGTGAGCATTTAGCCTAGCTTTAGCATGTAGCCTAGCTTTAGCATGTAGTCTAGCTTTAGCATTTAGCCTAGCTTTAGCATGTAGCCTAGCTTTAGCATGTAGCCTAGCTTTAGCCATCTCCTTTGCCGCTAACGGAGCCCATGGGGAGTGGAGCCACAACATCTTTGCTTCAATGACATTTACTAAACATTCCTCTTGCTCCGGCTTCAGTTTCTTGATATTTGGATTGAACCAGAACAGATTATTTTACTATCGCATTCTCCATGGTCCAGAGTTTACACATGGTAAGACCAGACGTACATGTAGGAGATGACCATGGACCAGAGGTTACACATGGTAAGACCAGACGTACATGTAGGAAATGACCATGGACCAGAGTTTACACATGGTAAGACCAGACGTACATGTAGGATATGACCATGGACCAGAGTTTACACATGGTAAGACCCGGCTACAATTTGGTACTACTGATTTATTCCTTTTCTGCTGTGGATGTGCAAGCAAGCAAAGTTTATTTATATAGCACCTTTCTCAGACAGAAGGTCACAAAGTGCTTCACATCAAAAACAAGCAATAATTAAAAACACAAGAAAAAATTACACAATCAAACAACAGTGGAGACAGTCATATCAGCCCATAAAACCGTACTTTCAAAACGCTCGACTGAACAAGAACGTCTTGAGTTGGGATTTAAATGTATCAACAGAGTCAAGTGATCGTAGAGAGAGCGGGAGATCGTTCCAGAGTCTAGGTGCGACAGCCTGGAAGGATCGGTCTCCTCTGGTTCGATAACGAGTGCGAGGAACCATCAAGAGATTTTTATCTACAGACCTCAGAGAACGAGAGGGGACATAGGGCTGAATCAGATCTCCGATGTTAGAAGGCGTCTGACCATATAAGGATCTAAAAGTCAGCACCAAGATTTTAAATTGAAACCGGTAAGACACCGGCAGCCAGTGGAGGGCTTTAAGAATTGGGGTAATATGAGCCCTTCTATTAGTGCAAGTTAAAATCCTCGCTGCAGAGTTTTGAACCATTTGGAGACGAGACCGCTCTTTTTTGTTTAGACATGAAAATAAACTGTTGCAATAGTCTAAACGTGACGACACAAAAGCATGAATAATGAGCTCCAAATCATTACGTGACACAATTTTCCTCAGTTTAGAGATGTTCCTCAACTGAAAGAAACAATTTCTACTAAGCTGTTTAGAGTGGTGATCTAATGACATGTTTTTGTCAAAAATCACACCAAGGTTCCTGAGACTCTGTGCAGCGGACTGACTGAGATCTCCCAAATACTGGTTTATCCCTGGGATAAGGTCATCAGGAGCAATCACAAGGGTTTCTGTTTTATCAGCATTAAGCTGCAGAGAATTTTTACTTAACCATAGTTTTATATTTTTCAAACAGTTGACTAAAGAGTTCAGCCTTCCCATCTCAGAAGGCTTAAAAGAACAGTACAACTGGATATCGTCAGCAAACAGGTGATAAGAAACATCAGCGAACTCCTGAATGACCTTTCCCAATGGAATTATATAAAGTAGAAATAGAACCGGACCCAAAACAGAGCCCTGCGGAACACCACAGAATAATTTAGCTGAATCAGACATGATTTGATTTGCTGCAACACTAAAACTCCGACCAGATAAGTAAGAGGAAAACCAATTTAGAACTGGCCCTGACAGTCCAACCAAGCCACTCAATCTGTTTAGCATTATGTGGTGGTCGACGGTATCAAACGCTGAGGACAGGTCAAGCAGAACAAGAACAGAGCATTTTCCAGAGTCAGCAGACATCATTATGTCACTGGATACTTTCAACAATGCTGTTTCCGTGGAGTGATGTTTTCGGAAACCAGATTGGAAAGTGTCATGAATGTTATGATGATCCAGGTAGCACGACAATTGTTTTGAGACCACCTTCTCTAAGATCTTGGACAGGAAAGGGAGTTTGGAGATAGGTCTGTAATTTTTTGGGTCCGCTTTGTCCAGATTTGTCCTTTTAAGTAATGGCTCTACTATGGCATGTTTAAATGAAACTGGAAACACGCCACTTGAAAGGGAAAGATTTATCATTTTAGTGACCCAAGGGCCAATTACATCAAGTACTTTTATCAAAAGTCTGCAAGGAAGGACATCAGAAAAACAAGAGGATGGTTTCATCTTCGTGATCAATGTTTCAATCTCTGTTTCAGTAACAGGCTTAAAGGAAGACCAACTGTGTGGTACAGGCTCAGTAGCAACAGAACTGTCACACAAAAGTGGTGGAAATTGGTCTTTTATGACCTTTATCTTGTCAATAAAAACCCTAAGGAATTTATTGCTGTCAGCTTTACAGGAGACCGGTGTAATAGCCGCAGCAGGACACACAATAGAATTTATAGTATCAAACAATGCCTCAGGGGTTTTCTTATTCACAATTATCAGCTGACGAAAATAGTCAGAGCGGGCCTTTTCCATCATTTCATTAAAAGAGGAAATAAGATCCCTGAGATGTAACCTGTGAACTTCAAGATTTGTCGTTTTCCACAAACGTTCCGTTTTTGCGACACAATCTCTTTAGATTTTGGATTCTCTCATTTATCCAAGGAAAAGCTTTTTTTTTGTGTTGGCGACATGTGTAGATTTGTCCTAGATTTGTGAGTCTAAAATAAGCTCGATGCTGTTTTTACTCCATTAATCATCTCTAGACCTGCAAGTTTTTTTCTTCTGTCAAATTGCATTTCTTACCGTTGCATGCTTTTCCTGTGTGGTCTTGGAAAGATGGAACAATGAAGTATTTCTTAACCTTAAAGCCATCTAAAACATGTTATATTGCCTATAGTTGTGAGATAGATCCTTGTGAGTCACTATTTGATCTTTTGGGCTTAGATCTGATTGGTCGAGTGAGACTGCTCCTCTCGTTCTCACTTTTCTGTCTGAAAAAGTTGATCTAAAATGTGACCGAGGCCAACAATGGTTCTATTGTTTGAAAGTTTGGTCCCCCAGCTTTAACCTACTTTGGCCTGCATGGTTTATCCCTGCTCCTAGTTTGATGTTGTTAAACTTTAGATCTGCATTTATGAACAAAAAACATAAGTCATCGTTTTGTATGAAGTTTAAGTCGGGAGCTTGTCACACCGTTCACTTCAAGTACTTCCCAAGAAACTATCTAAGCTCCGTCAAAACCCGTACTAGAACTTTTGGGCTCTTTAAAGTCACCGTAAAAATAGTATTAGGGTGTGATGCAGCTATGACTTCATTAGCCACATTAGCAGCTACGTTAGCATAATCATGTAACTGCTACCTAAGATCCCAATCAAAACCCGTACTAGACCTTTTGGGCTCTTTAAAATCGCCGTAAAAATATGATAAGGTTGTGATGGAGCAATGACTTCATTAGCCACATTAGCCACATTAGCAGCTACGTTAGCATAATCATGTAACTGCTACCTAAGATGCCAATCAAAACCAGTTCTAGACTTTTTTTGGCCAGTATTGTGCTTGTATTTACATTTTCAAGAGTGCACTGTAAAAGAACCGTTTAATTTTTATCTGATTTGAAATGTAAATACAAAAAGTCTAGAACTGGTTTTGACTGGGATCTCAGATAGCGGTTAGATGATTATGCTAACGTAGCTGCTAATGTGGCTAATGAAGTCATAGCTGCATCACACCCTAATACTATTCTTAAGCACTTTTTAAAGTCGCCATATCTGATTTGAAGTCGCCTTAAAAATAGTATTAGGGTGTGATGCAGCTATGACTTCATTAGCCACATTAGCAACATTAGCAACATTAGCAGCTACGTTAGCATAATCCTGTAACTGTAATTTACACATTAAAAACTGCATTGAAACCAGGTGACACATTTGTATTGATAGTCTTAAAGGAGTATTTGAAGATTATTGTCCTACTACAGTATATATTTATCTTGTTAATTATAAAAATTAAAATATATGGTTTTGAGTGAGTAGTTGTCAAAAATGTACAGATGAATTTGATCAAGTTTGGACTATTACTACACAATGGAAGTATTTTTTTCTCTCTCTGGTCTTTCTTTCTAGTCTCAGATCTCACAGTGATGCAGCTATGACTTCATTAGCAACATTAGCAACATTAGCAGCTACGTTAGCATAATCATGTAACTCCTAAGATCCCAATCAAAA